CCTTTATACAAAATCAGACACCAACCACTGACTCACTCATTTCTCTAAAGGCCTACTGTAATTAAAGTCTTTGCTTATACCATTTTTCTTGTCAGAAAATAAATGCCCAAATTTATTAATACTGTATTTATCCTCAGTGTTTGGCATTCCACCACTCTTGACTATTGCACCATACTCTCTTCTTAAATATCATGGAAGCAGTCATTTGACACTTGACTGGAATGTTTATCCTAACTGTATTGAAATTTTTGAATATCAATTGTCTTGACTGTATAGAGGTACAAAAGTGATACAATCCTAGTCAGATAAATTTCTTGAAACTTTCTAAGATGGAAAGAAAAAAGCTGCTTTATCCTCTTTGAAAATTAAGAAAAGGACTGTTAAACTGATAAATTTTACATATCATAATGTATCTGAATGGTAATATTTTTATATTTGCCCAAGATTAAGAGGCTAGGTGACGTATTTTTAGTCCATCATCTTTACTATGAACCATATAGTAAAAGGAGGTAATAAATATTGTGGCCTGCGTAATTATGTGTGTGTGCATGCATCTTGTATTGTCACTTCCTAAAATCAAAGCATTTAAAATTGAGAGAGATCTTTTTATCCATCTCTTGTTTTCAGGTGAGGAAACTAGAACACAAAAAACCTAATTTGTCCTGTGACCACTTGATGACAGCTCCAGCTTTCTATCAAATGTTAGGCTATTTCCCAACTGTTCAGAACAGCATTCTTTGTTTCGCTCAAGGTGAGGTGCATAATACTGCAGAATCATTCCCTTTTTGTTTTTCATATTAAGAGATAGAACTCTGAAGACCCTTATAGCAAAATGGCATGTCTTTGTGAACGAATTTTTTTTTTTTTAATTTTAGGCATGACACTATTTTGAAATTCATTTTTAAGTTCATAGTTTTCAAAGAATTATATTCTATTTTTAGGGAAAAATCATGAAAATACCTATTAAATAACATTCCCAAATAAATTTTGGAATTCAGAATTATTGGAAGGACTCAAGAATTCTTGACAAACTGTCAAGCTAATACTAGATTTTCCATGATTTCTAAAGATCTATTGTTTCTAATGTTCCAAATCCAATATTTTTACAACATTCTATCTGAATTCATATGTACCTGATCTTTGCTTATTCGGTCTTTTGCTTGTTTTTGCACTCCCAAAATGCATTTCATTTGTATAATCAATTAGGAATCTCCTTCCTTCAAGTAATTTTGGAAACCCGTATATTGGCACTGTTAAATGATCCTGTGTCTGAATACTGCTCTGCTTACTAAGACTGCTCCTGGGTTAATAGAAAAATTGAAGACTGTACACATCATACCTTATTATCTCTTTTCTCTCCACCTGAAGATACAAACACAAAGGAGTAAAAGCTTTCAAAGTCATAATTAATGTGCTCACATTGAATGCTAGTTTAGTTTAGTTGGAGACTGCTGTTTCCGCACCTTCAAGGTGAAAACCAGAAGAATAGTTTCTGGTTTAGTTGACTCTTAAATTTCTTACCTGAAACAAATTGTTTTTCCTTAAATGATTCTCACTTGTACTTTGAGAAAGGCCTGAATTAACTGATGAAAGACAACAATTCTTCTGTTGCTCAAGTGGTTGATATCTACTCAAGCTAGTTAATATGGCTGTCCCCAACTTTGAAAAAGGCTTGGTTGTCTTCCAGAATGAAATGGTAATGAAACACAGGCAGTTTATTTACATGGGGGATCCTAGCCATTGGAAACACCACACTTTGTCTTTAGAAGAAAATTAAAAGTAAGTAAAATAATAATATCTAGTTGGGTAGGGAAGAAGATGCAAATCACATTCTTTCTTTGAATGTGACCTTGTAACTATAATTATTTATGTTAACTAATGGTTTCATTCTTTCGTTATATAATCATAAATATTTTATTTTCTGAAGCAAGTTGCAATGATACCCTTCCCAGGTGGCACTAGTGGTAAAGAACCGGCCTGCCAATGCAGGAGATAGAAGAGACGTGGATTCACTTCCTGGGTCAGGAAGACCCCCTGGGGAAGGGCATGGCAACCCATTCCAGTATCCTTGCCTGGAGAATCCCATGGACAGAGGAGCCTGGTGGGCTGCAGCCCACAGGGTCGCAAAAAGTCGGACACGACTGAAGTGATTTAGCACGCACACACCTTAAATGTTGAAAGAAAATTAATGGGCTCTAACATATTGAAAAGTAAACAGAAGAAAGTATGATCTGTGCTTTGAGTTACTTTTAATCAGATGGTAGGGTGAAACTATTTGGATGACAGCGTAGGTTAAAAAAAAAATGTGGCGAACTTCCCTGGTGGCCCAGTGGTTAAGACTCCATGTTTCCAATGCTAGGGGGGTGTGTGTGTTTGATCCCTGGTGGGAAAGATTCCACATGTGGCATGGTGCTGCCAGAAAGTTAAAAAAACAAATGTGACTTGGACTGAAGTCTTTCCAAAATGGTTGTGTGTTCTCTGTCTACAAAAAGGTAGTATGATGGTAAATTTGCGTTTATCTTTGTTCCCATTAAGTTGATGATGTGGGGGAGAAGATAGAGAAAAGTTTGTGGGTTTCAGCTGTTATTTAGTTTGATTCATTGCTGTACTCAGATGGATCATTTACTTATTAAGATTAGATTTTTTTGCTTTCATGTTTTCTTTCGGAGCAACAGTATGGATCGTATTTAGTATTCACAAACTATTTTTTGATGTTGCTTTCTGTTACTTTTAAGTCTGTCTGAAATTTTTTAGTTTAAAAGAACATCAATTTTAAGTGTACAACTCAATGAATTATCACAGGGGGTAGTAAAGTTATTTTACAATTCTTTTTTAAAGAGTTATTTTTACTCTTCAGAAATTTAGGTAAACAGTTCAGGTAAATTTTGAACAAATACTAATTTCATATTATAAGTATCAGATTAAAAACTTTTTATCAGTGGATATTTCAAAATCATGACCGAAATAAAGCTTTTGGTTGATATTTTCAAAATGTTACCCATCATTTCTGGTATTAGAATTTCTTTAATTGCACACATAATCCTGAATCCATGCTCATAGAAAGAAAAAAAAAGTACTGAAATATATAAAAGTAAAAGGTGCAAATCATCATATACAATTCTACCAAATCTTTCTCTTTTTTTTTTTTTTTTCATTTATTTTTATTAGTTGGAGGCTAATTACATCATTGTAGTGGTTTTTGTCATACATTGAAATGAATTAGCCATGGATTTACATGTATTCCCCATCCCGGTCCCCCCTCCCACCTCCCTCTCCACCCAATCCCTCTGGGTCTCAAATCTTTCTCTTTTCAGAGGTACCACTTATTATGGTTCAGTTATAATTTCTACATCTTTTCCATGCATATACCTTTATAACAATTTGTTTTACATGTTTTGTTTTGTTTTTAATGTAAATGGGGTTCTATGTTATAATACGTTCTATAACTTGCCATTTCACTGTCTTGGAAAGCTTTATTTGTCATTCCATTATAGTTAGACTTCATTGTTTTTCATTGCTTTAATTTTTTAATGGTCCTCCTAATGATGGATACTTGTTTCTAGTTTTTTACTATTCAAAAAAAAAATTTTATCTTTGTAAACTAGTCAGTGATAAGAGTTTCTTACTGAGTAATAGTTTCTCTGTATTCTAGATGTTATTGTGTTGATTGTATGTATGAGATATTTTCTCCTTGTGTACTTGTCTTAGTGGCTTTTGTCTTGTTAATATTTTAAATAATTATGTAGTCAAAGCTGTTGATCTTTTCCTTTGTCGTTTGTTTTGTGGCTTCTTTATTTCTAAATTATTCATTTCCACAGAGATATTTTCATTTTCAACTGTCACTTGTAAAAACATTTTATAGACTCCTGTGAATGGTGGCAGAATGTTAGTATGTGATACATTCTGATGGCATGTAATAATCACATAAGGATTAATGACTATTTTGATTATCAATTTCAGAGTTATAAAATAAATGTAATAAATTCTGGAAAAGCATTGGAGTTTTTGTGTTGTTTATCAAATCACCATAGGTAGTCCTTACTGTTAAATTTATTTTTGACAGGTAGTATGTTAGGGACTGAATAATAATGGTACACAAGTAAGAAGTAATCCCTTTTATTGTGACTCCTTGAGAACAGTCCCTCCCCAGTTACATCTGCTATATAGTCAGCTTTTCTAACTCAAAGTCATGTCGCTGCTGCGAATTGCTCTCCACTTTTGCTGTCACCCAGTGCCAGATCGAACATACTAAACTCTTAGCAAAGCAGGATCTAAAAGGATCAGCCTTGATTAGTTCATCCAGAATCTCTCAGTTAAAATTTTTAAGTGTTTTATTGTGTGTGTGTTGTTTGTGTGTATACATGCACATGTGTGGAGTGTTGCACATTATATAGGGTGAGGAGAAGGCAAAAGAATCTTTTCTGTGTTTGAGGTCTCTAATTTGACTCTGTCAAGAGCCATAAGTTGAGCTCTTGAAACTTGGGCTATTTTGTCTTAACCACCAGCCATTTCCAGAGGAAGTAGGTTATAATTTTTCTGTTTCTTCCCTATGACAGAGGGAATACCTTTATAGGAGGTACCTTGAAGCCGGTATCTCATAGCCCCTATCATCAGCTCACTTCTGCTCTCTGCCCTCCCTCCTTACCTGGTTGATACATTTTTAAAAAATTAGAACTTTGCTGCTGCCCTTCCTCTCCTTATTAGGACAGATTCATGGAAGAGGGGAATCCCATCTTCTATAACAGATGGAGTAATATTGGGAAGTAAAAGGAAAAAGCTTTTTTCTTTTTTTGAAAAAACTAGAACTTTTACAGCTCAGCATATTTGGACAAATCTGACAATAATCCAACTACATTGTAGCTAAACTAGATTTCTGAGTGCATCTGCTAACCTAACCAACACATATACCTTTTTATAACTTGAAAATTGCCTTTAAAACCACAAAAGCACAAAGCACTGTAGTGCTTGTAACACTCTTCCATATTATTGTAGGTAACTAAATGACCATGGAATCTGGAGCAGAGAACCAGCAGAGTGGAGATGCAGCTGTAACAGAAGCTGAAAGCCAGCAAATGACAGTTCAAGCCCAGCCACAGATTGCCACATTAGCCCAGGTATAAAAACATGGAGAGATTCCAAGTTGTCTCTTCTAAGAGGAATACGTTTTAAATACAAGAGAACTTAGTTTTTATTAGAGATATACATAGAATGAGTGGTAACATTCTTAGAATATCAAAATTCCTATTTATTTAGTATCAGCCTAATTTTAGAAATGACAGTATTCAGTAACATAGAAAAATGTATTGTTAAATACTAACACATTATTTGTAGTAGTGACATGATTTAGGATAATTAAATTTAAACTGATGGTAGATGGTCTCTTGAATAAAACCTAATATGATAACTGGGTTTCTTTTTTTCATATCATATAGATTTATTTGGGGGCATGGGGACACATAATCTTAAAAGCTAAATTTACATGTGCTTAAATGAAAAAGATAGAATAAACAGATTGACACACAAGTAAATACCAATATCAAGGATGATAGTTTTTGTCCTTGTATTTCTTAAAGTATGATTCATAGTTCTTTCATTTTGTCTTTGTCTTAAACATTCTAAGGTTATATTCTCATCTTTATTTTTTGTTCTTACGTATTTTTCCTCAAATGTTTTATCAACATTTATTGGCATTATGTTATATATGAGTGAGAAAAGTGGTTAATCTAAACACCAAATAGCAAACAAATAACCTGCTAGGTAAGAAGAGTGGGATGTTGCCTCTTTCAGATGAAAGCTCCCAAGAGAAAATAATCCTAGCTGAGGCACTGGGACGTGGAGCTTCTGCTTCCCAGAGAGTTTAAAAGCTCTTCTACAGGAGTCAGGAGCAAGAATGGATCTTGGGAAATGGAGGACTAATCACATATGGTCACCACACTGAGCTAAAATTCGGGTCAAGTACTAGGTCTCTAGCAGGAATACCAGGGCCAAATACTAGGTCTTCTGGTAGTCGGAGCAGTGGGATGTTTTGTGTTTTCTCCTAAGATCACCAGGGCCCACCTCCAGCCCTGAGGAGTAAGGCAAAGCAGAATATATCTAGGGATGAAGTAAACGTACTCAAGATGAAGCAGGTGGAGGAACAAAGGTGAAAGCATCAGGGCCTCATTAGTACATGTCAGGGCAAATGTGGACATGAATTGGGACTCATCCAAGCACTCAGCCCTCTGGTAAAAAGAAGATACAGTAACAGCAGGGGTCTTGGTGATGACAATCCTCAACATACCTATCTCTCGGGACACCATTCTTCTGGTCTGGTTGTCCTCCTCGTCTGCTGTGTAACGTCATTCTGGAGATTTCCTTCCTGCTTTCTCTCTCTTGTGGAATTTTGTTCCCAGTGGTTCCTTGAGCAAGGTTGACTGGGTAAAGAATTCTTGGTAAAGAAAATGTTTTTCAAATTTTTAAGGCACACTCAATTTTTAGTATTTATGTTTCAAAAGACTAAACCTATTTCTTACTTTCTATCTCTTGTTACCTTGTAAAAATCTCTGTTCACAGTGCTTCACCATTTCATTATCAAGGCCTTGAATCGTTACATCCATCATGCAGTGTTCAGTGGGCCCTTTTTTTTTTTAAGTGGAAACTCGGGTCTTCACTTCTGGGCCATTTCCTTAAGTTATCTGGTTGATGATTTTTTCTCTCCCTCTTCTTTCCCTTTTATCTCTTGAATTCTTGTGATGCAGATGTTACTACCTCTAGGGCTGTTTCTCTCATTTTTTCATCTTTTCTCTCCTGTTTTCAGTCTGTCTTTTTGCTCTGCCCTCAGAGATTTCTTCAACTTCACATTTCACCCCAGCTGTCGGGTTTTTTTATTTCTCCTATCATGTTTCCAAGAGTTCCTTTTGTTTCTGAACAATCCTTCTGTATTGTAATAGTATCCTGTTGTTTTATGCTTCCCTGGTGCTCAGACAGTAAAGAATCTGCCTACAGTGCAGGAGACCCGGTTCAGTCCTTGGGTTGGGAAGATCCCCTGGAGAAGGAAATGGCTACACACTCCAGTATTCTTGCCTGGAGAATTCCATGGACAGAGGAGCCTGGTGGGCTACAGTTCATGGGATCGCAGAGTCAGACATGACTGAGCAACAAACATTTTGACATTTTTTTTTTAAGTTTCATGCAGGCAGTATTTTCTCTATCTCTGATAATACTAAGTTTTCTCCTCTCTACATAGATTTTCTTCTGTATACAGTTTTACTCTTCTCTTTTTTTGGTCACCATCTTTCATATTAGAAGCTTTCCTCAGATATTTGATAACTTGTGGTGGTTGGCCTACATTTAAAAGTAGGTGACCAAAAACCTATGTTGGATGTTGTGTGTATATGTTTGGGGCCTGACGTCTGTGAGTTGTGAGCTCCATGATAGGGTGGCATCCCAGTGTCATTAAGTCTTTCTTAACTTGGTGTTTGTTGGTCAGGTTCCCCAGAGAAAAGCTTTACTATCTCCTGCATATAAGTAAAGACCTGTGAGCCAACCAATGGAAGGAGACTGGAGTTTAGTACCTCACCTCAGCAATGCCTGGTGTCAAGCAGTCAAGAAACCCTCTATCAGAAAATAAACCAACGTTTTCCTGTCCTCGTAGGGGAGATTAGTGTCCTTTCAGAGTGAGGAGGGGATCTACTTGCTTTTCAAAGAGCCTTCAGTCAGCCTTCCTTATCTTCAGCCCCTCCTTTCCCTCTTCCTTCTAGGTTGCTTTAGATTCTGAGCCTCTTGAGGACCTTGTGGCACGAATCAAGCTGTCCCTGCCTCCGCCTCATGAGTTGGCCTTCTGAGGTCTTCCAAGTTCGTTACCATTCACCCACCTGTTTCCACCCTCCAAAACTCTGTTACTTCCTTTCCCATTCTTCTCTGCTGGTGTGATTATGCCTATAAAAACAAAATCAGTTTCATGAAGCTTAGTTGGAAATTGGGGAAGGAACAAAATTATATGCACATGTTCAGTTAGCATATAATCAGTGATAAGTGGAATGACATGATACTTGAGTTTTAGGAGAAATAATGTCTGTTCACTTTTGTAAATTTTGTTGTTGTTCTTTTAATACCTAATTACAGAGGGGTTTTTTTTTTCACTTGCTCATCCAAGTCCTTAACACATACATTTTGACATAATTTCTCAGAATTCTGATACCTATTTTTGTTGTCTAGTAGTAAACTAGACATTTATAATAAAATTGTCAAGACCATTGTGATTTGACCATTGAATGTAAAAAAACAAATTCAGCCTAACTAATGAAGGAGGAAAATCAATCTAAAATAATAATGAAATGTCTTAAGATTTGGAATTTACAAGTATTTCTTTTAAAGTGGAAAAAACATGTTGGTTTTGACTATGAGAATGTTAATTTTTATGGAAGGTTTTAAGTAAAGAGCTGGGTGAAAGGATGATTGTTGGTAATATTGTTGTAAATTAACTTTCTTGTAACAGGCAATTTTGAAAACCTAAATAGTAATAAGGAATTTATTAAATTATGTAATTTTTACCATTATACAGTCATTAAAACCATTAAAGAATACTATTAATGGTATGAAGAGATATTTAGAATGGATTTGAAAGATTCTGTAATAGTGCTATAAAAATTGAGTGTATATATGCATCTTTAAAAACACATGTATCTACCGCAAAAATATTAAGTGATTAGCTCTGAGTGGTAGGAATATAAGTGATTTTTTTCTATATTGGTGTATCTGAATTTTCTAAATTTACAGTGAGAGGAACCATTATGTGGAATGATTAGCATAGAAAGAGGATTATTTGTTAGGTTAGCTTGTTAATTTACCTTATAGAATACTCAGAGAAGAGGACATACTAATTGCTTCAAATATTAGAAGAGCTTTCCATTGATACGAGATATTCTGAATAATTTACAGTTTTGGTTCTCCAACCTTGGTGTCGGGGAACATGTCCTTGGGTCCATCAGAGGTTCTGACTTTATAAACAGGCACCCTATGTAACTCCATTGGAGGTAATCTGTGGACCACATTTTGAGAACCAAGTAAAACTAAGTAAGATTTATAGTGGCCAAAAAAATGATTGATAAGGAAGGACTTCTTCACTGTCCAAAGGGGAAGCTCATGACTTTAGCCTCTGCCTTTAGTAGGTATCTTTCCCGCAAGCTTTTTTTTTTTTTTTTAATTTATTTATTTATTTATTTTTATCACAACCATAGTCCCGCAAGCTTTATAGTCAGACATTTAACTGCCTTGTAAACAGCTCTGCAGATTCAGACGTCACATCCGTCCCAGCGTTTTCCACCACTGCCCCAGCTGCTTCCGCCTATAAGCTGCTGCTGTGTTCTCTATTGGGCATAGTTCACCCATTTCCACCCACATGTGAACTGCGTGGGTCGTCTTTTGACTTCTCTTTCACTTCCTCCCATCAGTCATTCATAAATACCTTTCTGGTCTGCCTCCTGAATTTTCATTAAATCACTTATTATTTCCATCCCTAATACAACTAGTCCCTAATTGCTGGCCTTCACTTTTACTACTATATATAGACTTTCTCAGGTGGTCTCACCTCTACTTTTTTCTTCCTCTGAAATAAGTATCTTTCACACTACCATTAAAGTAGAGTGACCTGTCTAAAATGCAAGCCTCACTATGATATTCAGTTCAAAAGCCCTTCAGTGTTTTTTCCAATCTCACAATAAAATGCAAATTCTTTAATGTAACTTGTATAAGATTTCATGACTAGCCCATCTAGCCCCTGCCTGTTATTCCATCTCTCCACACTTCCTACTTCCTATAGTAACAACACTTTTATATAGTAGTACCAACTGCTGGTCATCCCTCTCTACCATGTACAGACATTGCTGTTTCTCTTTGCTTTTGCCAGTGTCACCCTCTGCATGAAGCTCTGTGCCTCCCCTCTGCAATTCATGAGAACATACCTTTCTCATTCTTCTTTTTTTTTAACTCACATGCTTTGTTTCACACTCACATCCTTCCCTGGCGGCCTGCCCTCCTCCTGCTTTGGGCAGGGTGGCTCTCCTCACTGTGTCCATTGTTCTCTTTGCAGGCTTCATTACTTTATTGAAGTATATTTATTTGTGGTCTTTTCCCCATTCCTTCATACACATGCCTCAGTAATTTCTTTTAAGGGCAGAAACCTATGTCTTTCTCATTTCTGTAGTTTCAGTTCTAGTGTTGTTCTGGCACACATATCCCCAGTAGTTGAGTTCAGTCACTCAGTTGTATGACTCATGGACTGAGTCGACATCATGGACTGTAGCACACCAGGCCTCCCTGTCCATCACCAACTCCTGGAGCTTGCTCAAAGGCATGTCCATCGAGTCGGTGATGCCATCCAACCATCTCATCCTCTGTCGTCCCCTTCTCCTCCTACCTTCCATCTTTCCCAGCATCAGGGTCTTTTCCAGTGAGTCAGCCCTTCACATCAGGTGGCCAAAGTATTGGTGCTTCAGCTTCAGCGTCAGTCCTTCCAATAAATATTCAGGACTGATCTCCTTTAGGACTAACTAGTTTGATCTTGCAATTCAAGGAAAGAGTATGATCACATGACCTTCATTAAATTCCCCAGTAACTGTTTACCAAATGGACAAATAAAATTGCTACCCCCAAACACATTTAAGTACAGGAACCATAAATACTATACTATTTGATAGATATGTATGACTTAAGAGCCCTTTTAACCTGGGTGTTGACTTATTAAAATTGCCTTCTTTGTGCCTAGGAGAAAACTGGTTTCTCAAATTCTCTCAATTCTGCCCCAAGAGGAAGATAAATCCTTAAAATATCAACTATTACCAGTTAAGTGCTGGAAGGGGATAGAAATTTTCAGTTTGTACTTCCTCATGAATGAAAGGCATACTTGTAATAAGTTTATAAGAGAAAAATATGCTTTATACTGTAAGATGTGTATTTGTTTTAGACTTAGTAGCTAAGCTTCGCCCAAGTTTGGGAACAATTATTCTTTAGAACATGGCTTAATTTAACACATGATACTCTGAAGAATTTTACATTCCTTCAAAGCTAGCTTATCTCTTGACCTTGGGTAAGTTGCTTAATCTCTTTGAGCACTTCATGTTTCTGTCTCTCAGTGGGGAGAAAATATGGGGATAATTCTTTTTCTAACCCAGTCTGATTTCTTCAAAGAGCAAATGAGAAATTAAATATGAAAGCAGGTGGGAAAATGTAAAGCACCATACAAATAAAGTGGTATTTAGTGTTCATAAAAAGTCTGTGTTACATATTTTGATATTACATTAAAACAGTTTTTTGATTTTTGTCATTTGGGGGGAGTTTAAAAGTGGCATGGGAAGTATTTGTAGTGTTGTTTTTTTTTTTCTTTCCAAAAAGAATATTAAGTTTAATGTTAGTTCCTTTCACACCATTGGAATACTTAACCTAGCAGAAGGGTCATCCTTTTGCTGCTAAAAAGTTGCTTCATATTAAACATGAATACTCCCAAGGAGGTATCTGTGATGGTAATTTTTTTCCATGTTCAACACCATAGGTATCTATGCCAGCAGCTCACGCAACATCATCTGCTCCCACCGTAACTTTAGTACAGCTGCCCAATGGGCAGACAGTTCAAGTCCATGGAGTTATTCAGGCGGCCCAGCCATCAGTTATTCAGTCTCCACAAGTCCAGACAGTTCAGGTATGTGTATAAAAAGTTCTGCATCTACTTTCATAACTGTCGTTTATAGCCATATTTCTCTTCCTTTCATTATGAAAATAGGAACATGTCTAGTTTAGAGTTTTATTTTATAGTAATTATGGAATATGCTGCATCTGTATAGTCACCTTAAGTATAGGAACATATATACACAGAACAGACATAATAAAAAACTGTTTCATAAACTGGAGGAAAAAAGAATTGATTGGGAAAATCATAAACCATATGGGATAAAGTGGAAATGTTGGGAGAGACCATAAGGGTACCTCAGGGAAATAAGATGCAAAATAATAACTTTGTAATTATTTTCTAAACATGCTGTTGGAAAAAATAACCCTTGTCAAAAATTAATAACCTTACCTAAGGTATTATTTGAATTTAAAGAAAAACAACTATGTTTAGGAGTCGTAAGTTAGAGTATATACAACTTCAAAATGATACCTTCAGAAAGTGTACCTTAAGAATCAGGGATTTTTCCATGCATGTTATCTTATTCTTTGAAGAGATTGTTCCTTTAATTTGGATCCAAGGGGAATAAAGGCATGTAAAAACCTCTACTTAACTGTAGAGAACCTAGGGCAGTATACATCTTTGCAATGAGCTTATTGGGGAAGGAAAAAAAGAAAGACTTGAACGTTCATTCAAGTAGGCCATAACCCCAGCCTCCCATTTCATATTTTTTGCTTCACAGTCTTCCTGTAAGGACTTAAAAAGACTTTTCTCCGGAACTCAGGTGAGTCCTAGGTCCTATTTTTAGAAAGGAAGGTGAGAAATTATTCTTTATATCTTTTTCCCTTCTAACCATGGAACTCAAGGTTTGAATAAAAATCTTAGATATCTTCCAGGTCTAGGCCAAACTTGTTACCTAGCCAGCCCTTAATCTATTACTTAGTTTCCCTATTTACATCCTTCTCCCCTCCTCCAAACGGCAGTCTGGCATTACTTCAACTCTTTCAGAGAAAGGAGGCAATCTCCAGAGGTAACCAGTTTATAATCAGGGATAATTGCTAAAATATTCTTCCCTGAGGTGAACCAGAATACCTTTCTAAAGGTGTTACCTAGTGGTCCCAATTCTATCCCCAGAAACAAGTTAAGCAAACTTAACTCCTTTTCCTATTGGACTGCTTCCTTTTCCCTATCTCGCACATCCTTCCCATTAAAAAAAATGTCCAGACCAACTAAATGCCTGTGTTTCTTCAGCCATCTATAATTGGCATTGCTTTGTTTCCTCTTCACCATCCATGTCGTCATCTTGTGGGTGAGAGCTGTTTTCTCTCTTTTTCCCTTGAGTACAGTAGCCAGATTGATTGATACTTGTTAGAGGGGAGAAGTCCCTTGTCTTCTATTAAAGTCATAAAAGGATATATTAGATGTTAACTCCACCTCAGCTTCATTTGATCTCTGTGCTTTTCGTTTGCTTGGACATTTAGGGCAGGGCTAGAGGGAGAAAGAAGAATGAATGTGTTTATATAAGTAAAATCATAAAGTTATAATATTGAAAAGGAATTTGTTGTTACTAAATAGATGGTATAGTCCAGGTAAAGACTGAAGAATTTGATATTTCTATAGAACCACACTGACTGAACAATAGTCTCCTATCTTTTATCTCAGTTTTTATTTCACTGAATGCTGCCTAACTGTTGTTCATATGATGTATGCCATTACTAATTCCCTGCTCTACCTTCCTCTTGATGATAGTGGAAGGAACCTGACCTCCTAGTCAGGAAACCTAGATTCCAGATCTCACATTAACCTTTACTTTTTCTTTTTCACTTACGGTAGGAGGTCTTTATATAAAGAACACACAAAAATTACCACAAAATTTGCTAACATTATAAACATTGGTTTTAAGAAATGATGTTTAATTGTTGATTGTATTCTTAATTTTAATCTTTACTTTGTGGTAAGAGTAATAATAATGACCATTAACTTGTAGAAATGTGTGAGCTGTGCTTATAATTAGAAACCTGAATTCTATAAACAGAAACACAAATGGTATTTTTAATTGAAAGGCCCTAAACCATGGAGAAGCTATTAAACTTCAGTGGTCATTTCAGCTGGTTAACAGTGATTAGAGTTAATCATTAGAGAAAGGTGTATAACAGAAGAGGTGATCAAACAGGGGGAGAACTGATTCCTCAGACTCTTGATGGAAGAATATTAGTATCCTAGAGCAGCATTTCTGAAATATATAAGGTGCATTTCTCTTGATGTGAGAATAAGATACTAAGATTTCTATTTATCTTTTTTCATCTCAGAGGATTAGAAATAAGCTTTACTAATATTTCATATTCATCAGTGCCCTAACTTACCCCTTATGTATACGTGTAAGTCAGATCTCACAGATTATATAAAAATTCCCACAAAAATACTGGGAGTCACACAAATGTATAGAAGTTAACAGTATCATCCTCACTTTTCATTTGTTAATTTTGGATGCATTTTTAATACAATGCAGTTAAAACATTTCATAGGATTTATGGATTATGTTACCTTAAATTATTACATTCATTCCTTCAATGAATTTTTATTGATCACATGCTATGTGCCAGTCACTGTTCTAGGTGCTGTGAAAGACAGCAGTGAGCAAATAATACTTCTCTATTCTCATGAAGATCACATTTGAGCGAAGAGAGACAATGAAAAAATAAAATATGTCAGGTGAGGATAAGTGCTGGGAAGATAATTAAAGCAGGGGAAAGGGATAGAGAATGATGTGGAGGGAAGGGTATTTTATTCTATGTAGAGTGGTCAGGGAACACAAACAGCAGCAAACTAGAAAGCAGTGAAGGAGGCTAAGCCATACAAATAAAAGCAAGTCCAGAGGCCCAAAAGTGAGAATATGCTTTACATACGAGAGAATAGCAACACAGCATGGCCTAATTAGAGTGAGCAAGAGGGATTGTGGTTGGCACTGACATTTTTGATACAGTCTTTACAATACTTTATAGTGTGATGGGAACAACAATAAAAATCTTTTGTGCAAGATACCCAGTGGTTATCATATAGCAAATATTTGAGTTGCTGAACAAACATAAGGATGTTACTTGTTTGTTTTTACATAAGACAAGTGTTCCAAAGTTGCTGATCTTTGTAATGATGGCAAGCAAGAGATGACCTATAAAGGATATGTTAAGTAACAGACATTTTTGAAAAAAAGAAATTATTTTCAACTATCCTTTCTGAGAGAAGGTGACATTTTAACAATGTATGAGAGAATACCTGCATTTTGAAAGGAAATTGTGCTTTGGACAGAATATTTTGAATATAGAAGTTTGGAAATGTTCCCATAATGTTTTTTAACTGGAAACAGTATAAATTTGTCACCTAGAAACTCAAATATATATACTTTTAAAACTCTGGAAATAGAGTTTTCCAAACTGTTCAGAAGTGTTCCAGAGTTTCAGTAGGTGTTGAACTTATTTGTTAAAATATAAAAGCTTGTATTAGCATGTAATAACTGACCAAGAGTCAGGGAGATGAAAATATACTAGTAAATCTCATCAAAAGTTTGTGCAATTGATAGATGAAAAAAAAAAAAAGATTGTTTTACTTAGTAAGCCTGGCCACACAGCACTTACTCCTATATCCACATGTCATGAGCTTCTTTTTTCAGCAGTTGCAGATGTCAGATCACATTTCAGAAAGTCCAGGCTTAGAATCAGATTTTTGAGTCACTGTTATAAAATAATAAATGGTTTCTTAATGAACCTCATTAAAGCACATCACTCTTGTTGCTATGAAATATTAAGAAATTTACAGATGTATTTTAATACCTATCCTGACTTTCTAAAAATTAATTTGTTTTATGATACAGATAACACTTAAAACTTGCAAATAAATGTATGTGCTTATGTCAAATTTTTTTTATTTATAAGAGAGATCTGCAGATCAAAACAGTTTGGAGATTACTGCTCTAGACTTTTGTTAAACTCCTTGATCCAGTGAATAAACAACTATACCTAAACCTGAGCCTGAACTGTACTCCAGGAAAGTGCTTAAGTTTTCAGGGGACCATGTATAGTTTGAGAAAACATCTAATACAACCATTTTTAAAATTTTGTGCTAGTCACCATATATTTTATTTTGACATTTCAAATAACATCAAAATAGGGAGTTTTTCTCCTTCTTATAAACAGGAGGTATGAGTTTTTAACAAACTTTGTTTTAACAAATAAAAAGAATATTGAGAAATACAGATCTAAAACTTCACAGGTTCAGTGATAGGTTTGGCTTTTAAAAAATTTCTTGACCTATAAGTGGCCATGATTAAAGTCCTATTTAAGGAACTCAGGAAGGGATTAATAATAGAGGTGGCAGGAGGTGAAGACCAGAGGAAGGGGCTCTGCAATTGGAATGTGATGGTAGTCTTTGATACTTACAAGTGGGATATAGTTTTTCATGTTATTTTTAATAACCTATTAAATATGTGTTGAACTGTTATTATTAAAAAGGATTTTAATGGTCTTAGAAATGAGGGTTTAGTGGTTTGGGGGATTTTGGTTTTGGTTTGGTGGGGTACGGTGTTGGGGGGGTTGTTTGTTTTTTGGTAAATAGTCCATAGGAATTGGCTTCATATTCATAATTCTAAGTTCTGTCTGGATAGTGTTCCACCAAAGAGGAAATACTACATTCGTTAAGTATTATTTAATAGTTGTGAATTCCTTTTACATTTAAAAAATTGCAGTACATGTCACTTATATATGGAATCTTAAAAATACAACAAACTAGTGAATATATTAAAAAAGAAATAGATTGACATATACAGAGAACAAACTAGTGGTTACCTGTGGGAATAGGGACGAGGAAAGCGGCTGTATAGGAGTAGGGGACTAAAAGGTACAAACTATTATGTATAAAATAAGCTATAAGAATTTATTGTGCAACACAGAGAATATAGCCAATATTTATAACTGTAAATGGAATATAGCCTTTAAAAATTGTGACTCACTATTCTGTATACCTATAAATTACGTTGACAGCAGTCATACTTCAATTTTTTTTTTTAATTGCAGTCGTAGAGTATAAGTTAGTTCCTTTTGTGTGAATTGACAAATTGTTTCAGGTAAGAGGAATGGGAGACTTTGTTTTACTGGGAGCAATAGATGCATTGAGTTTGGGGGAAAAAATTAAAGGCCATATATTTAAAAAGCAATGTTAATTTGTTTCATTTCAAAATTGTCCTATGGGTGGTTTATGTAGCATGTTTTAAAATTGTTATTTTAATGACTTTCAACTTGTGGAAGAGTGTGCTTAAGTCATTATCCTTGAAAGAAGGTTGTAAGAATGAGAGTTAAGCAAAAAAAGAATGCTAGAGAAACTAAGGTTCTAAAAACATTAATGAGGGTAAACATTTGTCAGGTTATTCACTTTGAGTTCAATCTTGTTATCCCTTGAAATTCTGATTCTCTGCTAAGGCCTTTTTACAGCTCCTCATCAGCTCTACATCTTTGAGAAAGTCTGTGCAGAGACTCTACTGAGTGAGCTAGTTGACGGCAGCTCCAGATGAGTGGGAAAGTGTTCTGGGTGCTCCTTTGGCAGTAACTATAGTGTTGTTACTCTACCATGAATCACGGGTCTATAGGACTATACTTGGTTTACTTTAAAATGTTTTAAGGGGCACATACATTACTTTATTGTAGACCTATTTTGTGAAACATTACTAGATTAAACAAACTTCATTTTAAAGTGAGTGTGTATCACAGAGCCCTCTGAATACGACTGCCTGCTCTCCAGAACCCTTAGGCTTGGACCACATACTTGATATCTCAAGTTTCTCTTAAATGTGTTCGTTCTTACTGCCTTTGCCATAAATTTTGATAAGGTGCTATCCCACATAGACCCTTTTGCCTTGGTTAAATTTAATTCTCACTCCGACAGCAGCACGCTCACCTAGGTTAGGAGAGAGCAAGAGGCTCCTGCTGTTTAGCCTAGGGAAACTTGGCAGTGTAAATCTGACAGACTAGCTTACCTAAATGACTAAAGTTCTAGTCTAAAAATGGTCTGAAAATGCTTCTGGGTTGCTGCTTCTGACAAAATTGGTTTGAGATTGGAACCAGCAGGATTTTGATGCTAGTATGGACGTCTAAATTTGAGGCGTCAAGTGTTGACAGTGGCTTCACTACCTCATAGCTTTGTGACTTGGGTGATTTACTTAAATTCTTTGTGCCTCAGTTATTCCATCTATAAATTGGACATACTAATGGTACTTATCTAGCACCTAAAGTTAGTGTATTTTAGTGAGTACTGAGTAATGTAATATATGTATGTGCTTTAGCATCTGCCACATAGTAAGTTCTCAGTAAATGCTAGTTGCTGTTATTATTATCCCACATAAAATATGTATTCACTTTACCTTTGTTCCTTCTCAATCCAAGCATACTTTCCAGAAATACACAGTTCTTTACCTTGAAGTTTTGCTTAATAAAAATTGTGGATTGCCAGCTTTGAAACATGTCTGTATGTAGCAGAGGACTTCTTCCAGAATTGCTAGAAACAGCCATCTGGAACATGGTTGAAAGATCACCGATCTTACTTGTAAAATTGTAAATATACTCAAAAGTATTTCCACATTAGTTAAAGGAAAATATTTGTCCAGTCGACTGATAGCTAGATATTTAGTCACTTATTCTTTCCTTCATGTCAGAACTTTATTTTATTTGGTAGTTTTGTTCTAACTGTAAGAAAACAACTGACAAGTGATACTGATACATTCAGTGTTGATTATAAGAAGTCCTGAAAGAGAGTAGGCTGAATTTGGATACCACAAAAGTTTGGTTTTGACAAAAAAATTTTAAGTTCGCTGTAGGATGGGGAAAAAAGGGAGAGGAAAGGGATGGTGTGATTGTCTCCCATAAAAACTGATTTTCTACTGAAGCATGTATAAGGTTGATACATGCCCTTTTGTATTTGATCTTTTCTTAAAATTCATAAAAATTTTATGGGAACTAAATTTGATTATCATGATAAAGTTCTTCTTTATTTTCAGATTTCAACTATTGCAGAAAGTGAAGATTCACAGGAGTCAGTGGATAGTGTAACCGATTCCCAAAAACGAAGAGAAATTCTTTCAAGGAGGCCTTCCTACAGGTATGGAATTGAATAGTTAAAAGAATTTAGGATCAGAAGTATAAAAGTGTACCCCTATGTAGTTACAGGTGAAGAGATGTCAGAAGGCCAATTAGATGCTCGATTCAGGACCATACAAAGCATGTCTTTTCATCTTGAGTTGCTTCTCTCAAATAAGTTGAAGCTTGTCATACAGAATAAGAGCACTTCTTAATCTGAACATGTTGTGTCTGACTCTTCATGACCCCATCGACTGTAGCCCGCCAGTCTCCTCTGTCCATGGGATTTTCCAAGCAAGAATATTGGAATGTACAGCCATTTCCTTCTCCCAGGGATCCTCCTGACCCAGGGATCGAACCAGGTCTGCATTGCAGGCAGATTCTTTACCATCTGAGCCACCAGGGAAGCCTTACTCTGAACAGTCCTGGATAAAGACTGATTTTTTTTTTTCTTCTGTTTTTGTAGACTGTGCTGGATGCTGCTTTTCTGTTTAAAAGATTTGCATACATTTGATAAGGTTATAGCATTTTCTGGTTATAAGTCAGTTCTGAGACTGTACCACGTAATTCATAACATATTTCTTATTCCATGGTACTTAGCATGATAACTGCTTGTTAATTTAACAGTTGCTTAGGGTGATGTTTGGTGATATTCCCTAATTTTAGGGGCACCTTACTGCCGTTTTATGTTCAACTACAAAAGTTTCCTAATCCATACCTTGCTTCCAAGATGGACCAAAACTGTTTTTAGTACTACATAGAATTTGGAGCCATATTAAATATCTCCAGGAAGAGCAATTCCACAAATCTTTAAGCTTAATTCATAGTTTAATAAACTTCAAGCTTCTTCTTCCCTTCTTTAGCCTATGTTATTTCTATTTATATATATATTCTATTTTTCAAAGGAATGTTACCATTTTTTTTTTTCCATTTTCTTGGCTACTAAGCTAGCCCTTTTCTCTATCCTCACAATTAAATTAGGGATCCTAACGCATACCAGTAAATTGAGAATTAAGAATTCTGTGTTACCAAGTATGTGTTGTATTTATTTATACTCATAATTGTCAAAATATAGCTAGTTTTATCTTTTAACTTTGAAATATATCTAGTGTTACTATGTAAGACATTTGATCCTGAAGCAAATTCAACTTGATACTAAGAAACAAGCTACATGGCTTCTCTATATAAGTACTAGGCAAACCCTAGCTGTAACCTTATGATACATGAGTTTTATGTTGGAAAAAAATCTTTTTTTTTTTTGCCTTATTGGCACCACACATGTGTAGAGAAGGGTCTCTTCCCTTATAATCAAACCTCCAAAGTTGGAGAAATGGGAATTAAATAATACATGCTGGGTTTTTACTGGAACACCCCAGCTTTATGGTGATCAGTTTTTACCCAGAGGAAGTCCTTGAAGAATTCTCACTTGGTTTCAGCTGGCTTAGTATTTTTATCAGTAATTGAGCTGAAAACATAAAAGCCATGTTTATCAGATTCACAAATAACAGAAACTTAAGGGCAAAGTACCCTAATAGATGTAGAATAAAAACCTTGAAAGATTATAGCAGCCAGGGGAAACAGAGTGAAACGAATAGGATGAAATGTTGAGGATAATGGTAACATTTCTGAACTTGAGTTTAGAATAAAATCAGTTATTCCCATACAGGATTCTGGATTAAGAATTCATCTAAAAAAGATAATGTTCTTTAATTATCACTGATTAAATGTGGTTTCCAAACAAAGCCAATATACCATAAGACTGTATCGGTTTAAAAGGAAAAAATAACCTAGTGTCTAGATTAAAGGGAAAGTCGCCCAGTTGTGTCCAGCTCTTTTACCCCATGGACTATACTGTCCATGGAATTCTTCAGACCAGAATACTGGAGTGGGAGCTGTTCCCTTCTCCGGGGGATCTTCCCAAACCAGTGATTGAGCCCACGTCTCCCATATTGCAGGTGGATTCTTTTCCAGCTGACCCACCAGGGAAGCATTTTTGCCATGCAAAAGGGTTTTTTTCCCTGTAGTCAATTTTTCTATTCATCTCTTCTTTAATTGCACCTGGATTTTGAATCAGTCTTTTTTTAGGTTCACTGTAAGGAGAAATTCATCTGTGTTGTTTTACTTTTCATATGGTTTTGACATGTAGATGCCCTGATTCATTTTTAGTTTAATGTTACAAATTTTATTGTTTATTATTGTAAGTTTTTACATTTTAAACTATAAAATTTTTAAATTCTCTCCTAAGCGCTGTCAACTTTCTGTCAGTTTTCTGATCTTTTCCTCTTCTTTGTATTTGGCCAGTAAATGTTACATTTATTTTAACTGATACAGTTCTCTATTTTTCTAGGAAAATTTTGAATGACTTATCTTCTGATGCACCAGGAGTGCCAAGGATTGAAGAAGAGAAATCTGAAGAAGAGACTTCAGCACCTGCCATCACCACTGTCACGGTGCCAACTCCGATTTACCAGACTAGCAGTGGACAGTATAGTGAGTAATTGGTATTTCTGTTGTGGAAAATGAGATGAAAACTAATGGCTGCATTCTCCTCAAAATAATCATATAAGATCAGTCTGCGCTTTGCTAAATCTTGATTGTCACTGTTATATTTCCTTTACTTATATGCAAAGTTTTGTAACAGAAGTATTTGCTTTTCTTCAGGGTTTAGTTAGGATTGCCCAGGTATGTAAGACCTTTAAGTGGCGGGCATGTTCTGGTGCATGGAAAGTCTCAGAAGATTTTCAAACCACTACATAAAAATGTACTTCAGTCCTCATATAACATATTATGTTAATAGAAAACATGAGTTTTTCAGATAATTATTCTTTGATTATATTTAAGGCCAATTTTTGTCTCACAGAAAGCAAAGATTTCTTTTGAAAAATTATCAAAGTTCCCATTTCTCTGATGTCTCTGATACTTGGGTCTCTCTTCTTATCTTTCATCTCAATCTGTTATAAAAGTACTTTTTGAGTTCTACCTTTGTTTGATCAAAGGCATTTGTGTGAATGGTACCTTTTTCCTCTCTTTTTTCCCCAATATCTTTTTGCCTTCCACACTGTCTCACACATTGATGTCTTCATTTTTATTTGTTTATTAAATACAATGCTGCCCACTATATAGTTGCCCTCCCTGTCTTCCTTAATAACACATCAAATGTACACATCGAAACTCTTTTACTACATTGGTTTTCTAACGTCCTGAGGTAGTTTGTGTCAGAAATATGTATAAAAGTTTGACTCCCAAGTTCATAATTTTCCAGTTATACCTTGGCATTGGTTTGCATAACTAATTTGCATTCCAGCCATATTAAAAACAAATAGCAGACTTTTTAGCTGTACCAAAGCTGAAACTTTTAATAGTAAGTAGAAGGCAGGCATTTTTGACTAAGCTTCTTGTCCATTCAGTAAGCTTATTAGAGTTCACTTATCCTCTTCCTTCTTCGTTGGCAGAAATAGGTGTATGTGTGTATTTTTTATCAAAATAATTTGAGCTATTCAAGGTATGTGTTCTAACACATTGATACATGAACTTTATTTTTCTCCAACTTTAGTACACTTGAGGAATACAGCATAGTCCTATTAGTAACAGAGGTTCATTTACCACAGCAGTTCTCATTTGAACTAGAAATAGAAGGCCTGCTGTCCAGACAGAGGCATATCAGAATCTCAAATAGGGAAGTGAAGTTGAGGGAGGTAAAGCTCAGAGAAATAGATGTTTCATTTGGCACACCCCTTCCATCCAGCAGCTAAACAGTTGCTTGTTTTAAAGGTTAATACTTTGAGATTTTAAAGGCTTTATGCATTAATGTTTATGCCTTATTCTCTCTGTATATGTATATATGACTTTGATGGAACTGATTTAACATTATGTTCTTGATTATTATTAACAATATAATGACCAATTACATATGTAATAATATTATATATTTCTTATAAAATAAGTATATGGCTAGGAAAATTCAAATGATAGAGGTTTATAGTATTAATAAAAAGTAAAGACCCTTCCTACCCCTCCTCAGTAGTAAGAGTTTGGTGGTATATATCCTTCATTCTTTTTCATTCTGTTTATGCATACACATGTAAAATGTATTTTTATACATGTGAGACCTACATTATTTATATACTACAGACAAATATATGCATATATAGTTATGTAAGTGGTTTCTTTTAATAGCTACATTGTGTTTCACTGTATACATATAACATTTATTTAAAAATCGCATACACTGATTAATATTTAGGACTTTTCTACTGTTTCAAAGAATGCTACATAAACATTCTTTTAGTATATAGTGTCCCGTCCTGTCAGTGGGGTGGCATCTAATGGGTGGAACTGTTGAATCCTAGTCAGCCTGCGCAGTTACCCTTCCCAGTGACTACATCAATTTGTAGTCAGTAAATTGGTTGTTGTGTTTTCTTATTAACACTAGTATTAGTTTTGTCCATTACGTGGTTCACAATCCCTGATAATAAGTGTTGAAAGATGTTATTCTTAGGTATAAAAAAATGTCTCACTAAATAAAATTTTTTTTCTCATCATTTTGGCTACTCAAACTCTCAGCTAAGTTTGTTTAATTATATTCTTTCCTTATTTTTTGATAGAACCATTACGTATATCTAAATATACATCTAAATACACATTAGTAACTTCTTTTTCTTCTTGTTTTAGTTTAGTTTTTTTGAGAGCAACCTTAAGTCCTTTTAAAATATGACATGTAGAAATATTAAGAGAAAAACAATGTTTGATAGGATCAGACTTCAGTTTTCAGAGTACTTTCCTATATAATCATGGACTCATTTGAGTTTTATAACAACTGTACTTACGGGCTGGAACCAGATATTGTTATTTTTACAGAAGAGATAACAGATTCAAATAACAGTTTAGTGATGGAACTTGGACTAAACCCAAATCTCCTGATTTCTAGTTTCCTTCTTTCCACCTTGAGTTCATTGGTATATAGTCAAGAAGAAAGCTGTGTGTGTTGAATACAGTGGAATTTGCTCATTAACTCTAATTGAGAAATTGTGGTTTGATTCTGTTAACCTTCTGATTCTTTCAAGTTATCCAGCAGTGTTAATCTCAGAATACTTTTTATATATTTCTTTTTTCCCGCTTGTCTAAGATAAGTAAAATTTATGGAATTAGCTAAAGTGGATGGATTGTATATGCCAGTATCTGAATTTTCACTGGTATTATTTACTAAACTAAATCATAGCCATTAACAGTTATTTCTTGATTAAACAGTAAATATAATTTTTAATACACAGATGACTTGGGATATTAGTCATGCAGAGCTAGCTGACAGTTGATCACAAACTATCAGTAATTTCCTTCTAAGAGACACACAGTAACATGCTCAAGTCAGACATGCTGACTGTTAAAATCCATTATGCAGTTTTATATATAATATTGTGATTTTTTTAGTCTTTCTCTTTCTGGAATACTTGAACTCTTAACAGGGAAAAGTGTCTTATTGACTTTTTCCATGTACCAAAGGTTAATTCAGTTTTTTAAATAAAGTGAAATGTCTTGTATGAGCCAAAATTTACTTCCTTTGGAGCAGATGAATGACACATATGAATAATCAATGGATTCTACATGAGAAGGCTTGAATATGTAACTTAGAAATAGCAATAAGATACTTTTTTCTAAATGATCATCTTGGGCTCCAGTTTTAAACTCTATGAGAGGTCTGTGATAATTAAGTTCCATAGGACATTTCAGTTGTCTCATTGAGTGGATTTCTGTTATACTTTATGTATTGCCAACTGAGTAAGAGAACAGAATGCACTACTGAACTGCTTTATTAATTATGCATTAGCATAATCATTTATTGGGTGCCTATTACATACCCATGTCTGCACTAATAAGTACATGAATGTAGAGAAGAAATACAGTACATAGTTAACGCCAGAATAAAGGAAGTGGGTCACAGAGTGGTGCTTCTTCTCAACCAAGTAACTACAGATGGAAAATTTAGCATTTTCTCGTTCTATTTTTTTAATTAACTGACATTATTATAAATTATAATGTGGTTCATAGAGTATACTTGTATTCTAGAAATTGGATATAAGTTTTCTTGAGCAGAAAGTTACTTGACTATACAGAATCTTTCTTGGTTATGTTATCTGCTGTAATAATTTCTCCTAGATATGTCTTGCAAATTATTCTTTGAATTTAGTGTGTGTATGTCTTATATGGTATTAATTAAACTTGTAACAATAAAATCTGTTGGATTTTAGTTGCCATTACCCAGGGAGGAGCAATACAGCTGGCTAACAATGGTACTGATGGGGTACAGGGCCTGCAGACATTAACCATGACCAATGCAGCTGCCACTCAGCCAGGCACTACCATCCTGCAGTATGCACAGACCACGGATGGACAGCAAATCCTAGTGCCCAGCAACCAAGTTGTTGTTCAAGGTAAGAGAATTCAGAACTCACAGGTGTGGTAAATTCTTTAAAAGGTTAAAATTTTATAGACTCAGAAAAAAGTAAGTATGGTATTGCAAAGCACTGTTAAAATACAGCTTATTTTCTGCATCATAGATAATATTTTCCATAAACTCTTCTTCCGTTATTCCAACTGGACCAAAATATCATGGCATAAAAACAACTACTTTCAGTTTTAAAAATATAACTTCTATATTTAACACCTTTAACATTTGGATGTAGGAGAAATGGGTAGGCTAGAGGGAAAGACAATAAAGGAAAGGGAGTTTAAAAAGCTTGTTTCTAAATCTAAGTATATAGATTTGCTTTGTGACCTTGAGCAAGAGCCAGCGTCCCCTAACCTTTTTTTTTTTTTTTTTCCAATGTGTCAAATGAAAAGTTGTACTAAATCACTGATAAGAATCTTTGGAGGTTCAAATTCTGTTTCTCTGCTTTTAGTCAGAAGTAGTTTATATGTTCATTTCTATGGTCATCATTTTTTATTTCAAAGGAAAGCATTATGTTCTGAAAAATCTTTTGCCAGTTTGCAAGTCCACTGCTTTATGAGCAAGAGTAGTTAAATCCATGGTGAATTACAAAAATTCAAAAATTACAAAAATTTTTTCTTTTTTGTTTTGTTTTCTTGTTGTTTTCTTCCTGTTTGTTTCAGAAATATTTATGAATAGTGGATCATTTTTATTTGAATTCATTGCATATTTTAAGAATGATTTATGCCAGATTTAAAAATTTGCATATTAAGGAAATAATAAATCTGTTTCTAAAAATATTTTCATTAATAGTATGTTTTGTCTCTTATTAGGTAATGACAGATATGCCCCTTCACCATGGATGATTAATTTTCTATAATTCTAAAACCAGCTAAAGAATCAGTTTATTTAAAGGGCCCTAATGTACTTACAGAATATTTTGTTACTAAACAAATAATATTTGAAGAAGATAATATTTTGCTTATTAATGGGGGTTAAACCTTTTCACTTTACATGCAGGTACTCAAAAATTGTAAAGCAGGATGTCAGTGAATTTGAATTCTGAACATCAGTTTGAAGATGGTAACACATTTAGTACCACTCAAACTACACATTTTAATTGATATTAATAACAAATATGGATAGTTTTTAAAGAGTTACAAATTCTCTCAGATAATGTTAGGTTTCTTATTCCTAGGAGGGCATATTTATTATTAGGTTGTTTTTAGAAAGAGACTTTTTTATTTCACAAATGATGGATCATTTAATTATAAAAATAAAACTTCAGTTTATTTAGCCATTACCATTTACATTAAAACAGTGCTTACAGGTAATATAATTGGTATCAAGTGATACACTTTTTCATCCTTTCAGTTTTATTACAATTAGGAATTTATAATAGTTGACCATAATGCTTTATTTTCTCTTACATTTTGCTATTTTATGGAAAGTCATGGTTGTTTTTATGTCGTGGCAAGAGTCTACTTGAAATTTTTTAATATGAATTTACCAATATCAAAGGAAGACATTGAGGACTATACTCTGTCTAGGAAGATCATCCAAGCTGTGCCCTGCTTACCTTTTAGATTTAAGGTTGGTAAACACGTTAAGAACAGAACAGAACTACGTTCCAATGAAAGATAAATGTAAGATCCAGCAGACATAAGTCATGAAGACCCTTTTTCGTCCAAGTACCTATACTAATAAGTACACTAAATTGAAATTATTTCTGAGTAATGAATGACCCAAAGAGTGCTGCTGATTCTCAACATTTTAGTCAGAATCATCTGTTGCTTTTTTTCCTTTTGTATGTTCAGATTGATGATTAACCCATAGTTTTACCAAGTCACAGTACTTCAGTGTCTCACAGCATGCTCACTCTTTCTCTTTTCAGCTGCCTCTGGAGATGTACAGACATACCAGATTCGCACAGCACCCACTAGCACCATTGCCCCTGGAGTTGTCATGGCGTCTTCCCCAGCACTTCCTACACAGCCTGCTGAAGAAGCGGCACGGAAGAGAGAGGTTCGCCTCATGAAGAACAGGTACATTTACTTAGATTGTTGTACGTCAAGTATAACTTCAGATTCTGCCAGATGTATGTCAATAGGATCTTTGCATTGGGATTTTTTTTCTCTGGTAAAATTGATGGATCCTGCTAAAACGTCTCTATTTAATAAGCTGCACTTAATGAGATGGCTAATGGTTAGTCTTTGATGATGAATAGTTTTCTTTCATGCAGTTTCTCCATGAGAGAGATAAGGCACAACTTTGCTATATTTTCACTATTGCTTCAGCCAGCTGACTCAGTTATTTAAAAATTGTTTCTTGTCATGAGTAGTATCAAGAAAATTAACAGTTGTGTGTGTGTGTGTATATAAATGGTAAGCTTTATTTACATTAAATGTATTTGTAATAAGATAAATGTATGACGACTAGTCCAAGTTTTAATGCATATTAAACACCTAAATAAAGATTTTTCAAAAAAGATTAATTCTGAAAATACCTTATTATTGACAAAAATCTTAAAATCGAGCTAGTCTTCAATAGTGAACATGCTAGAGGTAAAAAATTTATTAAACATGGGAAAGTTATTTTCATAAAGTAAATTCATAGCTATAATTAGCTTTGTCATTAAAAAACAAAAGCAGATAAAAAAATTTATTTACTTGTATTTACCTTAGTATTTTTATGTATTTAGCTTAGGATTTAAATATTTACCTTAAGATATGGAAGTTACCTAAGACAAACCAAAGAAAAGGAAAATAAAGATATTAAAAGTTTGAAACATTGAAAATATTCCTCTGCCTTTCACCCCAAGATTCTTCACATGCTGTGATGAAGTGAAGGAAACATGAAAGTTGAATTTAGAGGCTCTAGATTCAAATCTGGGATCTACCCCTTTTGCTGTGACTTTAGAACATAACCTCCTAAACCTCAGTTTTCTGGCGTTTTTACAAAGGATCTGTTGTAAAATAGGATCCCACTACCCACCCAGAGGGTTGTTCTGTGGGTCAAATAAGATAATTCCTTTGAAAGCACTTTGTAACTGCAGTCCTTTATTGAAACATCTGTTTTTCTGCAATTTCATTTTTCAACTCAGATCAGCCTCTTTCATTCCTAAAATATTCTTAGCTATAACAGAATGCTAGTAAATTACATCTAGACTATGAGAAATGGCACAGTTTTTTCCCAGGTTATTAGGTAAAGAGTTGGAAACAAGCTGGGTAGCTTATTTGTGCTCCATTAATCTGTGATTTTCTGTAAGTATTTAAGTTAGAATAATAAGCAGAAACATAAAAGCTGTGTCCATATTTAAATGTATTTAAAAATATAAACTCTTTAAACTTTTTCAGTTTTAAATGTTTGTAAGGAAATCTTTGACCCTTTTTAAAATTAGAAGCAAGTATGCTTAGAAGTCTCAAGTAAAGGCTAGGTTAAAAATTTTAAGATAACAGTACTTACTAAAGAAACCAGTTCTCAACAGATACAGCAGTCAGGTAAAAAATAAATCTCTTGATTATGAAAAAATCAGAAGGACTTCAGATTGTGGCTCTGTAGAACAGAAACACTTAAGAACTAGGTAAGGAGGCAGCACTATGGCTTCTTGTCTGCTCTGGTGTACAGAGAGCGAGCTGGCCATTTATAAAAGCAAATTAATTTGACTGGCATACCAAATTTTCCTTTTTCTCTATTCATTTGATTTATGATTTCACACACACACACCCAGGCTGGGGACAGGGCACACAGAGCTACAGCCCCTAACAGCCTCTGCTTGCCTGAGATACTCAGGGAAGCTACCTAACTTTAATAAGCTCTTTAATAAAATACTTTGGCTTGGATTTAATTTCACTCTAAGGAAACTTCCCATTGACTGCTATAGCTCCCTTTTCCCTTTATTCCCAGATTCCTGCTGCTTCTACTTTTTTAACTTTCATCCATTAGAATTTGCCTTCTGTGCCCACCATACCATTGGAATGTCTACAAAAACGCAGATAACCTTCCATTTGGCACATCTAGTATTCTCTTTTCATTTCATTTTACCTTTATGGGAGTATTTGACACTTCTAACTGCTCATTTCTCTAAACTCTTCTTTGGCTTATTCACCTGGTTTTCTGCCAACTTTTCAAATTTTCCCTTGAAACTTTTCATGCCTACCTGTATTTCAGGTATATCACCTTAATGTTGATACAGCTTAATTACATACTGGTTTTTACCTCTCCCCTGAGATATTATTTATTTAGGTACCAGTATATGTTAGACACAGTACTTTGTTTCTTTATATATTTTATTAGTTCTGCCCACAGTAAGAAAGAAGCTTATCTCCACTTTACAGTAAGCAGGTAAATATTTCGCCAGAGGTCACACCTTTTAAGAAATGGGTAGAACTGGGATATGAGCCTGGATCTGGCACCAGAGCATGTGCACATGCTACCTCTCAGGTTCCAGCATGCAATTGTCATCGCTTGCTCTGCCACTCAAACTGGAACACGTGGTGGCACTGTGCTGGAGGTGTGTAGGGCCAGCAGCAAACATGGGAGCTTTCCTTGAATATTTATTTTGCTTAAAAATTTGACAGAAACAAACATTTTAAAGGTAAAACTAAAGATTCAAAACTAAAGGTAAAACTGAATTCATACCAACAGTAGTTGCTTTGGACTGGGCCCCCATCCTTAGTTTTCTCTGGTATTATGGTTACTTAGGTGGAAAAGTGAGAGAATCAGTCTTCTCCTGAACATACTAACTAGGATAGGTGCCCCTTATGCACCTACACAAAGGCTGTCCTCTAAACTTGGATAAGGAAAAGTTGTGATGCCTCAGATTCTGTAACATTCAAATTGCCATATACTCAAAGATAAAGTGGTAAATGTTCTAAAAGTATAGATGGTTACATTAATTGTGTTGCTACAGTAACAAAAAATCAGTGTCTAAGAAACAAAAATCTCTTCCTCACTTACATTTTGGCAGCTGCAAGTCATATGCTATGGCTTTCCTCCACATGCTCCCAGCCAAAGGAGGAACATCTCTTTGAGGCCTGTCCTTGTAGCAAAGGGAAAGCGGCAGAGCTTTTTGAAGCATCTGCTTGACTGTGGACATCACGTCCACTCAAGTACCACTGGCGAGGAAGCAGGTGAGGAGAAGCCCAGCGTCAGTGAGGTGGGGATGTATGCTCTTCCCACAGGGAGGGGGGAGTGAAAAAGTATGGAAGCAATGCAACCCATCTTGTAATTTTAGAATGCAGGAAGAATTTAACAGGTTTCATAAAAGTAGAAGTTATAAAGAAAAAGGTTAAGTAGGTATGACAACACCTATGATTAGCCAAGGAAAAGATAAAATAGCAAAGCAAACAAACTAGAAACCTTTTAACATATAAAGTCAGAAGATTGATAAGTTAAGGGTATGTAATAGGTAGATTTAAAGACAATGAATTAGAAATAGGGTTAAAAAAAATCAGAAATTCAAACCAAGTAAAATGTATGCTATGTCACTGAAGGTACATCCATTCAGCTTCCATGGTAGCTCATCTGGTAAAGAATCTGCCTGCAAAGCAGGAGGCCCTGGTTCAATTTCTGGGTCAGGAAAATCCCCTGGAGAAGGGATAGACTACCCACTCCAGTATTCTTGGGCTCAGACTGTAAAGAATCCATCCGCAGTGCCAGAGTCCTGGGTTCAATCACTGGGTTTGGAAGATCCCCTGGAGAAGGGAACAGCTATTCACTCCAGTATTCTTGCCTGGAGAATTCCATGGACAGAGCAGCCTGGCAGGCTGCAGACCATGAGGTTGCAAATAGTCAGACACGACTGAGTGACTTTCACTTTTTCATTCAACTATAAAAACCAACCATTAATAATGAAGATTTGTTTTTATTGAGATGGGAAGATGCTCATAGTGGAAAAGAGCAGGTTACCTATATATATATTACAATCCCATTTTTATTTATTTTTATTACAAAAGATAAACATGCTCATTATTAAGCATATTAGAAAACATAAGCTAAAATATTTACTCACCACTAATGTGCCACCCAAAATGTTAACATTCTGGAGTATAATTTTTTCCCCTAGTATATATGTGCAATGATAAATAACATATTTTTAGTATAGTTTTTAACTTTTTATTTTGAAATAATTTTATCTTATGGGAACAGTTAAAAACATTTTAGTATAGAGTTCTAGATATCCTATCAACCTTCTCAGCCTTCTTACAATTTTAGCATATTCTATAACCAGTCTGTGTTTCTTAAAACTAAAGAAATTAACATTCTGTTATATACTATGGATAGTAATTTTTGGACTTCCCTGGTGGCTATTCTTGCCCGGAAAATCCCATGGACAGAGGAGCCTGGCGAGCTACAGTCCATGGGGTCGCAAGGAGTCAGACACGACTGAGTGACTTCACTTTCTTTCTTTTTTATCATGGTATATAATACCACTAAGTGAACTATCCGTTTTATTTGAATTTCCTCAGTTTCTCCACTTTTCTCTACCAAAATCCAGTCCAGGTTACTACATTGCATTTACTCACTGTGGCTCCTCATCTCCTCCAGTCTGTGACAGTTTTTTCTTTGTCTTTTGTGGCCTTGCCACTTTTGAAGAGTAATAATTAAGTTTCTTTCAGAATATCCCTCACTTTGGACCTGTGTGATGTTTTCTTATGATCAGGTGAAGGTAATGAATTTGGGGGAAGAATCCTACAGAGGTGTAGTCTGCCCCTTCTTGTCACTTGTCAGGAAGCACTTACTAGCATGATTCATTCCTGACGGTGTTCACTTTGATCACGTGGTTAAAGTGCTGTCCAGCTGCTCCACTCCATCTGTTTTTCTCTTCACACCCTATTCCTTACAAACAAGTTACTACATTCAGCCCACACTGAAATGGAGGATTACTAAATGCCACCTCCTGGAACCGAGAGTATCAAAGAATTTGTGGTTTTAGGTGAAAACTAACACAGTAATTGGTGTAATTTCACAAAGATACTTGGAGACTATGCAAATATCTTATTTCTCTTTCAGGTATTCCCCACTAATTTTAGTATTCACAGGGGGGTCTTTCCTGCGGTGATTATTACTGTGATATTCTAATGAGGATTTTGTTTCCCCATCCCTTCTGCAATTATTAACTGGAATTCTTTAAGGAAAATTTGTCCCTTCCCCATGTATTTATTATTTATATCAGTATGAATTTACAGATACTTACCTTATTCTTTGGGCTGAAATTCAGTATTACTTAATTACGATATTGTTAAGATTATTCCAGCTTTGGCCATTAGGAGTTCTTATAAGTTGGTCCCTGTGTCCTTTAGATGGCGTCTTAATTTTCTTGAAGCACATCTTTATTTTCTGACACTACATTATCCGGGTTCAACTTCTCATCTTACGATTTTCTCTACCTTAGCTTTGAAATCAGCCATTTCTTCAGTGAGCCCTAGTTTCTTTCATTGGAAAATGGTTTACTTTGACCACTTGGTTAAAGTGCTGTCCAACTCTCCCTCCATTACAGTTATTTTTCTCTTTTTATAAATTTTTCAAAGTGCTCTTTGCTACTGAGGTTTCACAGGCCCTCTTAAAGGACAGAGCTAATAAATAAATACGTGTGTGTGTGTGTATACACACTAGCTCATGTATGCACACATCTATAGTTCTATGTATTATTATATATTATAGTAATTACTAAAATAAGTATGTTTTACTCACCCCACTGACTAATCTGTAACCACAGGGCTTATTTTAGCCTTCCCTTCCCCCTTTGCTTATTTGTAACTTTGTTCTCTGACAGAAACTTGGCTTCCCAATAAAGCAGGTTTATTTATGTATTTCTTAAACGCTAGTATCATATAAAATAGTTTTATAATTGCTAACTTATACCCCTGTCAGAAACAAATTTACAATACAACATTTATGTACAATTCTTTTTTTTTTTTTGCTTATAACCTTAAAGTACTAGTGAAGGCACTGTTTTCAGAGTTACTTAGCTGTGCTTCTTTTTTCTCCACTCCTTTCAGTGAGGTGGGTGGTGGTGGTGTTTTAATTGCTAAATTCTGTCCGACTCTTTGTGACCCCACGGACTGTAGCCCACCAGGATCCTCTGTCCATGGTATTTCCCAGGCAAGGATACTGGAGTGGGTTGCCATTTCCTCTTCCAGAGGATCTTCCCGACCCAGGGATCAAACCTGCGTCTCTTGCTTCACAGGTTCTTTACCCCTGAGCCACCTGGGAAGCCCTCAGTGAGGTTATGTCATACATTTACAGTAAAGTTAGGTTTGTCAACATGTTCATTCAGTTCTGGGATTACCTGACGTTTTGTTTTCTGTTTTTAAATTTTGTGCTGTATGGTTCTATGGCGTCTGACAGACATGTCTGCCACCATAGTGCCGTACAGTACATTTATACCATTTTAAAAAGAATTCCTGGTGGTAACTCTTGGTGGTCAGCCTCTACCCCTTTCCCCAGCTCCTGGAAACCACTGAACTGTTTTCCATCTTCTGTGTTTTCCACAATCTCCTATAAATGTAACCTTTTGGATCTGATTTCTCTCACTTAGCACAACACATTCAAGATTCACTGTTAGTGGTGTATGAATCAAGCAATTCGTTTTATCCTTGGTATTCTATGGATGTGGTTTATCCATTCACCTTAAAGTTTATGTTCATTTCTAGTTTTGAAGGATTATGAATAAAGTTACAATGAACAGTTAGATATAGGTTTTTATATGAACTTTCAGTTCACTTGAGTAAATATCTAGGAGTGGCCTGGATGGATGGAATGCTAAGTATATATTTAATTTTATAAGAAACTGCCAAACTGTTCTTCAGAGTGGCTATACCATTTGCCTTTCTACCAGGAATGTATGAAAGTTCCGAGTGCTCTCTATCAAGTGTTATAACTATATTTCACATTTAGGTCTCTGATCCCTTTTGAATTAATTTTTATAAGGTGTGAAGTGTGTTCAGGTTCATCTTTCTGTATCAACTGTTTATTCTAGCACCATTTGTTAAAAAAGATTTTTCTTTCTTTGTGGAATTGCCCTTGTACTTTTGTCAAAATGTACTTGACCATATTTGTATAGGCTTGTTTCTGGGGTGTCTGGCTTACTCCATTGCTTTGTGTATCTGCCCTTTTGCCCATCCAGTCCACTGGGAGACTCTTTTCATTCTCTTCTGTTCTTAAAAATACTCAGAAATTTTTGAGATGCCTTAAGAGGCACTCCCCAAGCTGAAGAGTTCTTTAAATTTTTTATTTAAAGCTCATTTGAGTTGTATATTCTACTCCAGAATACAGTAATTTTTATTTTCATGTGAGAACACTTGCTACCCTTCTGCCCCATCAATTAAAATTGGTGCTTCAGAACAATTCTTTTTTTTTTAATCAGTTTTCTATGGTATGTTGAAAATTTTACATTAGGCAATTTCCAAGTCATTCTCTTTATTTTTTTCAAGTGCCTAATCTATAATATGTTAAAATGTTTGTTGCTTTGAGCCAGATTTTTTTTAATGTATTCTATCTAACACAAAATAAAGAATGCAGAAATGTTGCATAATTTTTCCTGTCTTTTGCTTATAGGGAAGCAGCACGAGAGTGTCGTAGAAAGAAGAAAGAATATGTGAAATGTCTAGAAAACAGAGTGGCAGTGCTTGAAAATCAAAACAAGACACTGATTGAGGAGCTAAAAGCACTTAAGGACCTTTACTGCCACAAATCAGATTAATTTGGAATTTAAATTTTCACCTATTATGGTGGGAAAAGGACTGGCTTGGCCACAACCAGAAAGACAAAATAAACATTTTATTTTCTAAACATTTCTTTTTTTCTATGCGCAAAACTGCCTGAAAGCAACTACAGAATTTCATTCATTTGTGCTTTTGCATTAAACTGTGAATGCTCCAACACCTGCCTCCACTTCTCCCCTCAAGAAATTCTCAGCACCAGGAATCATGAAGAGACTTCTGCTTTTTATCCCCTGCCCTCTTCAAGAAGTAATTGTTTACTTGTAAATTGATGGGGGAAATGAGGAAAAGAAAATCTTTTTTTAAATGATTTCAAGGTTTGTGCTGAGCTCCTTGATTGCCTTAGGGACAGAACTACCCCAGCTTCTTGAGTTGACGTAATGTTTGGGCCGCATGCTTAAAGTAAGTAAGGTGCAATGAAGAAGTGTTGATTGCCAAACTGACATGTTTTCCCATTTCCATTGTGAATTATGTAAAATCGTGAAAGAGACATACCTGCTGAGAAAAGAATTTTAGGATGGTGTTGAAGAAATTAAGAATGAATTCAGAGTGCTTTCTATGTACATTCTCTTCAATACTGAATACTTGTCCTTGGTTCTTAAAAATACTCTGTATTAACCATAGCTCTTCAATAGGGCAGTTGTTGCTTCTTAATTCAGTTCTGTGTGTTCAGCATTTATGAATACATTAAAAGAAGTAACCAACTGAATGAAAAAGCATGGTATTTGATTTTAAATTAAATCAAAGTAAGTAAAATTACAAAGCTTCAGTGTAGTACTAAATTTTTAGTACAAAGATGCTCATTAGTAAACCAGTTCCTTGAGTTATATAACAAGGTTTTTCCTTGAGTTATACAACAAGGTTTTTAAATAGATGTTTTTGTCATCACCTTCAAACCTATTTATATTGTCACACATTTACTTAAAAGGGTTTTTCTAATTAAACTGCTCCCCTTTGCACTTACACCACCAACAGGAAAGCCTTCAAGATGTTGAAGTAAAGTGATATATTTGTTTATAAAATGTTACATGTTGTAGAAAAATACTGATTTTAAATTGTTTCCATATTAACATACTTTAACAGTGTAGTGACTTTTTTAATGAAAGAAGTTACAAGGATATAGTTTAAAAGTACACTATTAGATATACACAAGGAAAATAATTTTCTTCAGACTTATTTGAATGACTGCTGTACTACAATATTTGAATTGTCATTCTTGCAAGACCTTTTTTGTTGTTTTCTTCCAAAAGGGATGATAGGGATGCTTAGCTTTCCAATATGTTGTATATCCTTTGTTATTCTGTAAAGGAGCTACCTGGTTTAACTCCTAACTAGAACCGTCTGTATTTGTATGTATCACACATTGTTTCCAATATGACTTAATTATTAATACTCATTCACTAAGTCGATAAATTTAAAAGCTACCCTTTAAAAAACAATAAGACTGAAATAGATTTGAAAAATTTGAAATTGACATGTTAGATTATAATTTCTCATTTGAGAAGATTTTTTTTTTAAGAGAGTCTAGGATTTAATGTTTTATATTTAGTTATGGGTTTTTAAAAGTTAATGTGTTAACAAAATATGCAGATGTGGATATTAATTATTGAGTCCATTTTGAAAAGTAAGACTTTTAATTAATATTTGTAAATGGTATTTTTTGTTTGTAACAAAGCATTGTCTTTTTTTAAGGATGCACAGAGTTTATGAAGCAGCATCATTCTAAGAATTGAGTGATGTAGTCTTATCTTTGGACAGTTCACCAGATTCTCAAGAAGGCTTTCAAACGACTGTAAATTTTGTTGTTTATCCTGCTGAGCTAACGGTGAAAGTTATAGCATCAAAATTATTTGTATACCAACTTAGATATACCTTTTTCTAAAACTGGTTTGATAGAAACCAAGCAAAATCAAAAATCTGTTCATAAACCAGAATTCTTAAATGAGTCAGAATGTCAAAACTGAACATTTTAAGTTTTAGAAATGAAAATTGCTTAATATTTAGCAAATTAAATGTTTTCAGAAATAAGGCTTTCTGTTTAATTAGAAAGTTGGTGGTCTCTTAGTCCCTGATAAATCAAGGCAATCGCATCCATATTAGCTGGTTGGATTTATAAATTACTTTGAGGATGACTGCTCTGGTTTGAAGTCAGTTAATGATGAGGTAAGAAGTATATATTCTGTTGCTAAATCTGTTTAGACCTTGGAGAGACTTGAAGATTTTCATTTATACAGATAGAAATTAAGCATCTTTTGTGAAGACTTTTTTTTTTTAAGAGAATTGGGAAAATGTGTTTGTTTTTAAGCATGCAACTTTGAGAATCTTTGTTAACAACATAATTTTTAAAAATCTTACAGCCAAGAATATATGTGGCCACATTATAAATGTTTTTTCTCTTCATATTGGCCAAAAGGGAATAAAAATGTCATCATAGGAATCTGTACATATGCTACTGATTTGCCTAGAAAATAGCAAGTTTGGTATTGCTCACTTTGCAAATATAGGGCCATGTGGCACTTTTATCTATAGGACAGATTAACTCTAATAAAAATGAAGTGGGAGGGGTTTATTTTTGATATATTGCTCTTATGAGTTTTTAGGCTTTGATAGTGTTTAACGGAAAAGTGGTTTAGAAAGGGCTAGATCCAATGTGTTCACATTATTAAAAAGAATTGACACCAGGTGTAATTTTTAAGTTCATTCTTTTTCAAATTCAAGTACCATATTGGCAACCATAATATTGTCATAGGTGCTCTATTCATTTAGATATTCTTGGGGGGATGGCATTTGTATAATATATGTGTACATATATATATACATACAGTATATATCTGAGGCTCTGAGAGCTCTTAAGTCAGGAATGCTGAGTATTATAGTATATTGAGGTCAGATGAAATTTTACATTTTTGCGTGATCTATTGCATCCCTTTTGGTAATTTCTTGGACTGCATTACTCCAGCACTCATGATTGATTTTTTTATCTGCTGATTTTCTTTTTTTTTTTTAATTGTTAATTTTCTTTGACTTGATACTTTTAAACATGTTACTAGTCACTTGAACCACCACCACAATCACCACCACCCCCAAAAGTGTTTGGTTTTTATGCTTTGTCTCTGGCAGCTATAACAGTGGTAAGAAAATTTTGAAGATAGCTTCTAAAAGGTACCACTGATTTTTTTCAGAAATCATCCTGGGGGAAAATTTTTGGTGTTTTCATTTGAGCAGGGATTTTTGTCAGAAAATATACTTAGATGGTAAGTCAGCAGCAGTGCTAGTATCCGAAAGCACAATACCAGTCAGGCAGGCTGTCCGATCAGAAGTCATCTGGCTGAGGTTTATCTCTGTCTCTCAGGCCTAATCCCTGATCCTTTTGACCATTTAGGGTGACATGTGGAATCATACAAAGGCTTAGGAAGATACAAGTTTGTTTAAACCAGGATGCTTTTACTTACTTTAAGTGACTTCAATCTAGATTTCTCATTTTCATTTCTAATATTTTTAATTCTGTGATCAGCTATAGTCAGCTGTCAGCATAAATTGGTCTCTTTATTTTGAAGATTAGAAGGTTGGCTGCTTCATTTTTCAGGATTAAATAAGGCTGACATCTTGAAGTTAAAATTTTGAATTAAATTAAGTAGGTTCCAAAGACAGTTGTTACACACCATTTCATTTTTTTTCAAGAGGCTTTGTTGCCTTTGTAACCCTGAAAACTGTTGGTATATTGTTTCCCATTGACTTAAGACAAAAGTTGTATATTTATTTGGATTATATTTACATTATATTCTTTGTAAATGTTTGGTGTAACTTGCACTTTTAAAATGACCCTGTTTGGGGTATTAGCAAACTTGAGAAATTCCCTCATCAATTAATTGTCATCTGACTTTTTATGTCTTTCTCCTCTCTTCAAATCATGTGTCTTTTTTTATGGAAGCTTTTCATTGATTAAAATATTTTATTTAACACCTAAAGGCTAGCCTTATAAATAGCTGTAAAAAGAGAAACATAAGGAAATTAGACTAGTTCAGTTAATTTAAAAATGGGTTCAAACCCTGTCTAATTCTCTTTCATCATGAATAAAGATAGAAGGAAATACAACTCAAGTGAGTAAATATTTCCAATTTTAAATGAGATTCTGTCCTCACCCCAACATTAATACTATGTATAGGATCCTAAGATATCCTTGAATTTGTGCAGAACAGTGAAAGACTTCAAGGTAATTTGTTGTCATGGAGAACACATGTAATAATTTGATTAATTTTTTCACTTTAAATTGTTTTCATTAACATAAAAAATAACTGTCTAAATTTGACTGGTTTCAGATGAGAGGAAAAGTGATGTGTGCTTATAGTAAGCCTATAGGTGAAGAATTGTGGGATAAATTTGTTCACTCAGTTGTACAAAGCACAACTAGGACTTTTTGTTGGATGGCTTACATACATCTTGAATACTTCTAATGTTGATGTGTTGACTTTTTTTAAGTTGACTGCACAGTCACTGTATGTACTAGGAACTGGTTTCCTTGACTGTCTAGAATCAACGGCTGAGAGAGGCGCTAATCCCTGAGGGGTCGAACATATCATGGAGCTGAGTCAGTATGGAAGAATTTCAAATCAATCAAACAGGGTGCTGCAGTTCCATCTGTCTCATCTGCTGATGATAAGTTCTTATTGATGAGTGAATGTAGCTTAAGCCTTTGTATGTGTCCTCAGGGGGCAGACAAACTTTAAGAGGGACCAGATAACGTTTGAATGGAGGGATTATATTTCAGGTGTTTTAGCTTGAAATTTATTTTTTAAAAAAATAAAAATAGAAAAAAAAAAAAGAACAAAGCCTGTGAAGCAATTTGATACTATAAACAGGTTGAGTTGTTTAGCACAGAGAGAAAATATTGACCTGTCTGCATTCTGGTACTGTGCATACAGGTCCTAGTTGGGTAAAACACGACACATTTTGAGTTATTCTCACCAGCAAGTAAAACGAA